AATTTCTACTACGGCAGATTACAACCGTTTACTTATTTTATTTTGTCACTCTGCCTATGCAGCTTTATTAATTTTATATAATATACTTGACAAAAATCAGGTTTCGCAAATAGTCTAGTACTGTAATGTATAATAAACAAAAGTTAGGCCCTACATGTAAAAAAAGTTATAATTACGTTTTAAAAAAGGATTGTTACAAATAAAGTAACGTTGAACCTGCGTGAAAGTAGCCTAAAATATGTGTAAAATCTCATCACGTAAAGTCAATAATTATTAATTGCAACAATCAATATTTTTTTATTGTTACTGTTAGCTAATATAGGTCTATCATGTGTTTTCTTGTTTTATATTTTTTGTCCATATTTTAAATATGTTAATTTCGGACCAAAGAACCTTCGGAGCAATGCACTGACCTCATTCACATAGTGTTAGCACATCTGTCAACTCGCTCCAACCAACTGAGGTACATTATTTCCTGCCGAAGGCCATGGCACAATGCCAGAATTCTGCGTCATTGAAATTGCTACAATTGCTACAATTGCGTCACAGTAAAATGTTTTAATATGTCATAAAAAAACTGGGTTGGTGCATTTTTTGCCTACTACACAACAACTCAAATCAGCACAAAAGTCAATACACTATTAACAATACAAATTATAATAACGATTGTCAGTGAATTGCATCAATTTAACGCCCTGGTATTATAATAATATGTTGGTCTTCTATAGCGCTTCATATTACTACCCAAGTCATTTGATTGCATGAGGGAGAAGAAAGAAACATTTTCTGGGGAAATTTCCCCGTAGTGCCGCCACCGCGTAAGTAGGGGGTTCCCCTCCAAATTTTCATAGATCCCCTTTTTTAATTTTTTTTTATTTTGCTGAGATTGTTATGCTATGCATTGCATTCAGAAATCGAATAAATAGGACACATAAAACGCTAGGCCACTTTCGCTACCGGGCCATGGCGTCCCCCTTTGGCCAAGGCTCGATTCGGTGGCAATCGCATGTACACCCCACCCCAAATTTGAAAGGACTGATCAGTGATTGCATAGGCCTACACATCAGGTGTCACTTATTCGATGTGATTTTGGTTCTGTCTCACGCCTAAGGACTGAAATCTCACGCATAAGTGTAATGTCTATGTTATAATACCTGTAGTAAATATGTTATTAGTGCTTGAAATATCATGGAATTGTATACTAGCTGCACAACACTGCACTGTGAATGTGTCCTTTTATAGAGCTCATAGTGTTAGCAAAGGGAAAATGCAGACCCTAAATGCATTTTCGAGCACTTAGGACAAAAGGGAGGGTGTGTTGTCCTATACCTCTAGGGGGAGGATTTTACAAAAGTCTCACACCTCCAAATTTGTCTAACTTGGAATCTCTAGATACTGTGCCTATGCCGTAAAAAAAAAGTCATTTTGCTACACTTGACAGTGGTCACGCCAACGGTGGGTGGGGGAGTGGGGTGGAGAGCAGTTCCCAATCTCCCCTGTCGGACAGGCGGGACCCGTCGTCTCGGGACCAAAATAATTTGCCTATCCAAATGACGTTATTTTGATCGCCAGTCCATATTTTGGTCTGCTAAAGCACAATTTGGGCCATGAAAACTCTCCCCCGTGAACCAGAGATGTTTATTCTGGGACCCTGACCAAATGCTCCAGTCGGCCCCTCGGATCGGCTCCTGTCGGTAATTTCCTTGAGCCACCGCGGCTGCTCAATGACAGGGATCGTAACTTCAGTTAGGCCCTATTCAGAACCAAAATTTTATTTCAACAACATAATTTCACTTTATTGGATTCAACTTGCTACATTTGACGTACAAAATTACCATCGTAAAATTGTTTTTTTACTCTTTATGACGTCAATCATCTTTCCCTTTGTGTGGTGATGTCCTTGTCTGCATTCAGTATGGTCTACATACCCTATTCTCAGTTTTTACAATATATATTCACAATTGCCATAAACGTTTTTTAATGAAATTAAATCAATGTAAACATAATGACATACCATACCTACCGTATGGATGTTATCCTGAAGGCCTAGTTATGAATAAGTTGTGCCACGTTGTTTAATTCCTAATCAGGACTCAATTAGAATTATATACTACCGTATATTCACTGTATATATCTTTGTAAATCACACTTTATCAACTTAGTTTAGATTTGTACAATGTTATAGCCAAAAATTATATAATATATGTAATAACGATATATGTACCACGTTTGATTTTGCGAGTTACCTTATGCTGTACATGTACAAGACGACAGCGACTATAATTTATAAACATTAAAGAATTCAAAATCAATCAATCATGATACAGTGGCGGCGCCAGCATTTCCCCGACCGGGGAGGGGGGGGGGCGGCTGATGTCCTCGACAAGAAAAAAGTGGGCGTGGTCGGGCGTCGCTAAAATCCTTTCCGAAAGTGGTCCAAGGGACGTAGCCCCCCACCCCCGAAAATGACAATTTAGGGGTTTCAAAGGCTTATTTAATCCATTATATATTAATATGTACAAAATACATATAATTTTTTGAATTCCCGACGAATTGTGGTTTCTCTCCTCGGGGGTGGGAGCCTTCCCCGACCGGGGGGATGTAGCACTACTTATCCCCCCCCCACCCCGCACCGTAGCGCCGCCACTGTCATGATAAAAAAAAATGTGGCAGTTTTTGAAGCTCATAAACGATGCGCGGTAGCAAATCCGACCAAAAAAACGACAGCTCTTTGAGACTTATGGGTTTATATCTTCGCTGAGACGTCATACCATTCCTGTACTACAGTAGTTCATGGAGGTATTGGGAGTAGTCACTAATACCTCCATGGTTCTCTCAAATCGTGAAAAGGAGAACTGAGGCCTAATCAGGTTGTGTTTCCTGATTGGTCAGAAGTACTTTAGGCAAGTCTAGCGTGTGTCATTTATATTATACACGCAGTTTGCTGCGCGCGCACATTACACTGGCTACTGCTCAGCTAGCTTTTTTGGTTCATCGATCGATCGTGTGGGGCTGCTGAATTTACGGTGCTTGACTGAAGGTTGATTGATGTTGATGTTTCCTTTCTGTCTTTTATCTTAATAGCAGGTACTAAGGATACCCAATATCAACTAAGATACCCTATTTCTTCATAAGTGGAGGATGCTGCTTTTATTATGATAAATTATTTAATTCTTTGTATTCCTGACCTATATATGTAGGCCTTAGGCTAGCAGCCTAAGCTGAGTTTTTTTTTCTCGGGCGGGTTCAGAAGGAGTTTTTTTTTTTTTTTTTCTCGGGCGGGCACAGGAAGGAGCCTAGGAGGTCTAGGCCTAGCCTCTAGGCGTACCCAGTCAGTAGTAACAGTAGTAGACTGCTATCTCTCTAGTACTTACTGTATCTATTACTACAGTACTACTAACTAGGTTTAGTCTTATTGGCCTAGGCTAGGCCTAGTAGTAGTACTTTGCCTAGCTAGGCTAGACCAGCCTACTAACCCTACTAATTACTACTATTAGTGTTTACTATATTACTACTAGGCCTAGCCTACTATAGCCATATGCCCCTACCTAGTAGGTAATAGTTGGATAGACCCTACATGCTTAGCTGCTCTACCTAGCATGAATATAATATTATTTATAATATTGCCAATCAATATCATGCTCTGTACTGAAGCCTAAAAAATGATGTAAAATTAAGAGTTATTTTGCCATTATATTATGGATTATAATCAAAATGAATTGAAACATGCATACTACTACTAAATTAATTAATAATTTCAATTGCAATATATAATTTTTCTATTCTCAGTAATTATTACAATATCTTATATATTTGTCTTCTCTGACTCTGTCCCCTCCCTTGTCATTTATTTTAAGAATGTTATCCTAGGGAGTTTTCAGTTGTTGAAATGTGTTTCATATGTTTATTGAATAAAAGATAAAAGTGGTTTTTAATATTTTGGCTTTTAGAATTTGGCCTGTTGGTTGACCAAGAAAATGTTTCCTTTGCTATCAATAACTCCAAATGCTGTTGATTTAACCTGCTTTGAGTCGCTAGCAGATGAAGATGATGAACACTTAGAAAGAATCTTTCATCAACATCATTCTACAATCAATCAGTATTATGTTGAGGAATACATAAATGATGATTCACTAGTGCCTGATCTTCTAAGTCAAGAACACTACCATGAAATGATTCCAGTACTCAAATCTATCTATGATGGCCCGCTCCAAGATTTGTTTAATGATGGAAGTGAGGAGGAGGTGGAAGAGCAGAAATATAAACAGTCAAATATAGCAATCGAAACTCAAGCGTCAGGACAATTACGTCACCAGCTTGATGCAGCAGTAACACTGTACAACGTGGATCAACAACCAATGTCCAAGACTGATAATTCTGGTGATCATTCATTCTGGAGAGCAAATTATAATTCAGATGTTCTCTTATTGGATCTTCTTGAAGGAAATTCTGGTTCCATCGGTGGTGATGATGAGAGGATGGTACCTGAAGTGGAGGTTGAACACTATAATATTACCAGGTGTACAGCCAGTTCAGAGGAACAGTTAGTACCAGATTGGTATTTTCAAAGTGAGGAATAAATATCACACATTTACAGAATTGCTAACAAGTGCTACTGTAATATTATATAATACAATGATGCTTTAATGTAATTACTGCAAGGTATTTAGATTTTCATCATTTGTTGCCTCAAAAGGCAAATACTGTACCAACAACCAAAAAAAACACAGGGAAAGAGAAAATGTTTTGTTTTTTGTACTATTCAATTGTGGATTGGTTATCACAATATGATGTTATGGGGTGGGACTACTCCAGCAAGTTTTTGATCTTGCAAGTTGGAGAACAGTCACTGGCTAAACTTGCTATCAAATTTTATGTGCCAAATAACTTTTGTATGTCCGTACTTGAGTTTAATATGAAATCATCATGCCTTTATATGGGCACATCACACAAATTTGTCACATGAAATTTGATAGTGTGACAGAGCTTAAAAAATGAAAAGAAAGAAGTTCACTAATCATATTTTTGGATGATGTCAATTCAGTATTTACTTTTTGAAATGTTCCAGTGTTATTGATATTTTCACACGAATAGTGAGTATAAAAATAAGCTAGAAAGTATGTAATGACATTGATTCCCAAAGTTGTTACTTTGATAATTAAATATCTGTGGAGAAAATAATAAAGACATGGACTCTATAGGAACAAGTACATTATATTCAGAGTTGTTCTATTAATGTTAATTTATTAAATTGTGACATAGGCCTATTTATTGATACAGTATATATTTAGAAAATGCAAAATGTCTGATCTGCTATAAAAGTTATATGAAGCTAGAAGGATGTAATTACAGTATATGATTTCTAAGTTGTTACTTTCAGAATTTCATGTATTTGTTGTTTTTTTTTTATCGTTGATGTAGTGTAAATAAATATGTGTGGCAATATATTTATTGATGAAATGTAACTTGGTTATGTACACAAAAAAGATTTTATATTAGTTATATATTGGAAATTGTTTGTACTTTTATTTGTATTGTGGACATGATATTTATTGATAAAATATATATTTAAAACCAAATATTTAAAAACTCAGTAGCTTTGCCAAAGTAGGCATACTTGATTTATAATTGCTTAACTTGACATAAGAAATCCAAACTGTATTATTTAATGTTTTGTATGTAAGCTGTTTCAGAATTCATATTTGGATTATTAAAATATTGTAAAAGCATGTTTTGTAGCTCCAGTATCCTTATTTTATGTAGGTTTAGTTAAACTCCTCAACTACTAAGCATGGATAACTTATGCCCAAGTCTCTTCCCTTTCCTTTCTCTCTTAAATTTTCAATTTAAGTTTATCAACGATAATTAAATTTAAAAAAACACATTGACGAAAGGTGATGAAGTAAAGTTAAATATAACTAATCTAATCTTAGCACTTCCTTGATGAACAACAATACATCATTTTCAACAAGTTCAAAGCTCCCTAGTATCACTTTAGACCTACTTGAATAGCTAATTCAAATGGTAGGCCTACACAACGTCCTGCGACAGATCTCTTGACCTCATTCTGAGCGGCAGTGACGGCACTGGAGATGGGAGGGGCGGGGATTTATATCCTTCTCAGCAGTGCTCTAGTTATAGGTGCTCCCCAAAAATGCTACACATAAAATATAAGGTTAATAATTTTATCGCAAATGATTATTATATCAGACTAACAAATTTATTTTTCCATAAGCTTTCGACCACGCAGTGGTCTTCATCAGGTGAATGTATAAATAGGATAAAAGTATGGTCATATACAGTAAGAGGAAAGATGGTAGATGCTCTTTTTAAAAAAATGTAATTAATGTTAAATCGTGTATTAAAACTACAAGTGGGAAAGTACTGTTAATTCTATAAATTTGTATGACGTCAGCAACGGATACACGTCGCGCCATTTTTCGAATCGATAATATACTTATATACTCCATGTTTTTTGGGGGTTTTTTTAATTATTATTTGTGTTGGTACTGGTACTTAGTGTAAATTACCTTCTGTTATGGTGTTTGGGGTAATTCTACAATAGTCAATTATATGAGAATTAAATTCATGAGCATCCCATGATGATTTAAATCTGGCATACGATGTACAGATTTTTTTTAAAAATAATTACCTTATATTGTTATACCGTAGCTATTTTTATTATTGATGTACAATAATAAGTAAGTTGTTGAAGGGGCTCAGCTGGAAGGAATAAAATAATATATATAAAACACTGTAGCCTGTATACATAGGACGCTACACCACCCCGTTCCCCTCCACCCCGTCCCCGTCCCCCTCCACCCCTGTACCATCCCGCCTACGAAATCGTGTACTGTAGTTTGTACTTTGTGCTGTTTTTTTCAACAATTGCAATTTTATTGGTAGGGTAATCGTTTTTTTGTCTTTTCTAAGAATTATAATATAAATTATTGATTAAATGTACATTTGCGGATCCAGATTTTTGAGAATTTTAATATTTATGTTTGTTTTGATGAAAAGTGTAGTTTTACTGGAAATCGAAAATTGACAAATCTGGGATAGCCAAGTAAATTTCTTTGTGAATTTTACTGTTTACTAATTATTCTTCACGAGCAAGGTATTTTCGCAACAAGAGTACATCAGCCATGGATCAGCCAATCGACTATCGTATACTTCGTGTTGATCATAAATTGACCAATCAAGACATGCCTTTCCAGACGTGAACTGTACTTATACATCCGCAGAATGTCCACTATAAATACGCTGGCGTTCTTGAACGTGGTAATACAAGAGGTAATTTTGGTCAACTCCGTTTGGTGTGGTACGATAGTTGGTAAGTATGCCAGCCAATCTGTCTGTGATATTTGGAATATACGTAGAGAAAGCTATGATAATTATAATGTAGATACCAGGTAGGAACTAGTGTTATCACTGTTAGCCTAGGCTAGTCCTAGCAAGGAGATACTGTACTATTACTAGGCCTAGTACTTAGCTACGGTAGGCTTATCTATGACGTATGGTCCTCCATCCTAGAGTCGATCCTCCATTGATCTACCAAAAGTTCCAAGCAGGCGAGGAAATGTGTGTATTTGAATTTTTTTTATAATTATCTTATGTAGGCGTATTTATACTGTGGCTATTTTTATTATTGCTGTTTAATGTTTAGGAGACTGGGGTTTGGTAGATTAACATTAGGACTTAAAACGTTTTATAGACTTTTTAAATGATTTAATGGGCTAGTAGAGTAGAGCTAGTACACTAGATAGGTCTTTTATTTTGTTTATTTTTTTTTAATATAATGCAATGATGTACAAAGAACATGCCGATGCTATCAATTTTCATGGAGGTATTACTCCCGCCAAATATGGCAACTGCCTATATTTCGATATTATTTAGTTTAAGCCCTATAACTAATTTTGATAGTTACATCTAGGCTTAGACTAGAATGTATATTTTTATTATTAATATAGCTTTTATATTTACTACATATTAAAAATCACAAAAGCAAGCATGTTTTGTTGATATCCACCTCGTGGATAAAGGTGGGCGTGACCTTCTTTCGCCAATAGAAAGAATGCAAATCGTTTGTCCACGAACATCATGCATGATTTCTTGGCCATCTGAAATTCTATTGGACGATGAAAGCTCTGTGAACAAATGAAAGTTTACCGCCCATTTTGCGTCATTGCGGTTATGTTTGTACAGATTTCGTAGTACACGTACTGCATTTACGTCATTTTAAACTAGTAGAGTAGTAGAACACCACGAGTTATTTTGTTCCTACGAAGCTCTTAATTTTTTTTGTCTACACGACACGAGAATTTACCACGGTAAAACTTGCTACTACTTACTGGTAGATAGGCCCGCCTTAACAGGACGTCGTGTTTTCAGCTGGTTTGGTTAGGCCTAGTAGGGCTGAGTAAGCCTAGCCTAGGCTAGGCCTAGTACTAGTAGGGCCTAATTCATTGAGGTCACTCCCTCGGAGCGCGCAGTGAATTGATGTTTAGTGGGGCTAGGCGTTGCCTAGGCTAGTTCTATACAGTACTCTACTTATAATTCATATTAACTGTACAGTACCTAGGGAAGGCTTAGGCTGAGTTAGGTAGGCCTTGACTACTAGTAGCTAGGATACTCAATGAGAGGAATTTTCATCTAGGCCTAATTAAATTAAATTCTTATTTCAGTTTAAATTATCAAATCCAAGTGGCAATATAAATTGTAAATAATCTTCAAGATGGCTACTACATATTCTGCAAAAGTAGACAAGACTATTGTGGATAAATATATGGACTTGGACACTGGTGGCTGTGTACAGGCTATGTATATATGGATTGATGGATCTGGTGAAGGATTGAGAGCAAAAACGAAGACAGTAAATTTTGAACCACAACAACCATCTGGTAGGTTAAACATTTATTTAACAGTGTCCTGCAGCTCATTAATTAACATAATGTAATGTTTCCAGCATTAATATTAAGTCATTTATAAGAACTTAATTTAAAGCAAATTTAAGGCTCTACTGAAGAAAGAAAGGTATAATGTACCCTTTCTTTGACATCTGTCGGGCTCCCTACAGATTAGTGTTTTAATGTTTTATTTTAGTTTTATACTCGTTTATTTCATAATTTTTAAATCTTTCTTGTACACTTGTTTTAATATTGTAATTTTGTTTGTGGCTGTATTACTGTATTAATAATTGTAAATTTGCCATTTTTATATTGGTTTTTCATTTTGATTTTTTTTTTATATGTAGTGCTTTAATCTCTTGCTATATAATATTCTTTCGGTATGTTTTAGTGCATTAACTGAACTGAAGGCTGGGCTCAAGCCAGCTTTGATTTGCCTAAAATACAATGTTTATGGGAAGTACTGCAATTTGTTGGTTAATGACATTTATTGCATTATTTTTCTTACAGACCTTCCAGTATGGAATTACGATGGTTCGAGTACAGCTCAATCAGAGGGCAGCAACAGCGACATGTACTTGCACCCAGTAGCAATATTTAAAGACCCATTCAGGAGAGGAAAGAACAAATTGGTTCTATGTGATTCATACAAGTACGACCAAAGGCCAGCAGGTAGGTTGGAACACTAGCAAAATACATGACGACACAGTAAATATTATGAATCTTGTGTTGCTGGTATTCTTTTCCTGTACCTAAAAATACAGGACATAATTGAGCTTAGATAAAACTCGGCAATATTAAAACTATCCAATAAAATTATAGTTTGTGGAATTTAACGTATAATGAAATCTAAGCAGAATACAGTTAAAGCTTAAATTTGTAGGCAGCTGTTCTAACAGTTGTATAATTTTGTCCAACAGAAACCAATTTTAGAAAATCGTGTGTTGAGGTAATGGAAAGAGCAAAGGGCAGTCATCCATGGTTTGGCATTGAGCAAGAATACACACTGTTGTGTCAGGATGGACATCCATTTGGATGGCCTAAGCTTGGATATCCAGGACCACAAGGTATTGTCGGATTCTATTGCAAACTATATTTTTATTAAAATTGTAAGCATGATTGGCAATACGATTCACATGAATGTGTTTATAACCCTAAAGAGAATGACAAATCCTGAAGCTCTAGACTGGCATCGATGGAGATGGACACTGCAAGGTGGTTGGGGTTTCGCCTCTCTTCCCCGTCTTTTGTACTTTGCCAGCATATTCCAGTACCCCTGGGAAGAGACTCAAGTGACTGGCACAAAATAACCATATTGTTAAAAAATATTGTGAATCCTCGATTAGATATGATTGATAATTATATTTAATGTTTATGTTTAATTCATGAACAATTTTTCAAGTTGTATTCATATTTTTCTGTTTTAGGACCTTATTACTGTGGAGTCGGTGCCAATAAGGTATTTGGTAGGGATATAGTTGAAGCTCACTATCGTGCATGTATGTATGCTGGAATCAAAATAGCTGGATCAAATGCAGAGGTAATGCCAGCCCAATGGGAATACCAAGTTGGACCGTGTGAAGGTATCAACATGGGTGACCACCTTTGGATGTCCAGATTTATCTTGCACAGGGTTTGTGAAGACTTTGGTGTTGTGGCTTCGCTCGATCCTAAACCAATGCCTGGTGATTGGAATGGTGCTGGGGCTCACTGCAATTACAGTACACAAGCTATGAGGGAAGAAGGTGGAATGAAGTAAGAATAAGATCCATTTTACATAATCTTTGGGACGGGGATGAACATACATCTAGACATAGCCAACACATACCATGAAAAGCTTGCAGTGTAGAAATTAATTTATTGTTTTTAAATGCTTATTCATCCTAATACAACAATTTAATTAAGCATTTTTTTTAAATGAATTCAGGCACATTCTGGAGGCTGTTGAAAAACTAGAGGCAAGGCATGATGATCACATCCGTGCTTACGATCCAAACAACGGGCAAGATAATGCTAGGAGGTTAACAGGATTTCACGAGACGTCAAGTATACATGAATTCTCGTCTGGCATCGCTAACCGTGCTGCTAGTATTCGCATTCCTCGACAGGTAGGTTAATAATCGCCTCAAATGCTATAAAAAATGCTAAAAATTCTTTCCACTGAAGGTGATTCCACTTGAGGACTAGTGGTTTATAATACAATTCTTTTTGTTTTATTCTATATATTTACTGTAATTGATAGTATTAGTATTGGCCCAACTGAGCTATAGACCCTGGGGCAGATGCAGGATTTGGCGGTTGTTGGTGCGACAGTCCACACCACATAGCCCCACCGTGGTTGGGGCTGTGGTGGGAAAATATTGAGAATATGAATCTCGGGGTGCTTTAAAAATCTAGCGCGTCTTATTTTCGACAATTATGTTTAATATAATTTAGGGGGAGCGATCGCACCATCTGCATCCACCACAGAAAGTAAGATGCACACAGTGAAAAGTGCCATGTGCTTAGTAGCCAACCTAATGTAGTTTTCAGGTAAAATTTAGTCAAATGAATCCAAAATGCCATTGAAAAAAATTTGACTTACAGATTGTTAAATACCGTACTCGCGCGAATAAGCTAGTTTGCAAAAAATTTGCAATACCAGCACCACCACTAATTTCATCTAGACGATTGTCTTCTGCACCAGAAACATTCGTTTAATTTCCAGATGCTCTTATATAATTTTTTATCTTTATTAAAAAGTACCCCTTGAATTTTTCAAGTTCCCGTAAGCACCCCTCAATTTTCACCTATTTCATAAGAGCCCCTTCATTTTCCGCTCTGTTTTCAAACAAAATTTTAAGCGCCCAGGTGCTTATACGCACGAATACAGTAATGGAAATGACAAGATATAAAAAACGGGAGATAGTATGCATGTTCAACAAAATAACTTCTTTTATTTATAGAATGTTTTGGTTTTTTTTGATAGGTTGGAGATGATGGTTTTGGCTACCTGGAGGACAGAAGGCCGTCCTCAAACTGCGATCCATACAGAGTCACAGAAGCTATTGTCAGAACAACGGTACTTGATGATTGGACAAATTAATACAAAATATGAACACTTGAAATTGAATATTGCACTACTATAAATTGTTTTATCGGCTCGGAATATTATTAAATTTTGTGATTTAAGGATGAAATTGCATTAACACTCAATGGTACCAATATTTCCTATGGAAGTAATTAATAAAACTTGCCAAAACTAATGATTACATTGGCGATGCCTTTTACTAGTATTGCGACATAAATTTTAATTTTTAGGTATTCTTGTTTTCATCTTTCACTATGTACAGAACTTCAAATAATAATAAAGTATTTTTTAATTTATAAATTGTAGCATTGTGAACTTGTTAAGGTACAATACAATCAATATACAGCAACATATTGATCCTACAGTATTCCGTACAAAAAACTTTCCACTAGATTTGCACTATTTATTGGAAATTGTCAACGTTTTTGTGAAATACATATTGCTACAGCGAACAACAAAAGCAGTAATAAAATGTATGGAAATTATTAATTAATTTTTTAACAACCAAAAACATGGGAAAATTTAAATTGCAAATAAAATACAAGCAATTTTATTAATATAGTACTACAGTATATTGAATTAGAAATATGCTACAAGCACTGGCATTGTATATTGCTTCATTTTGGGGTGGGGAACTCGATGATGCAATGATTTACAGTACCAAGATACCAAACACTTTATATATTTGTGCCCTCTTATTAATTGTATTTGGGACGAGCTGAAAGAAATCGTAACGAGAAAATACAGGAGAAAGTTTAATTTCGATTTGTATTATGCTATGTTTGGTTACTTCAAGAAATTTCATTAATAAACTTGTACTTATTGCTAAGTTTTCAATTTGCAGATTTAAACTTGGGAAATGCAACAATCCGAATCGAGTACTTGTAAACTTTGAAAAAAAATATATAAAATTTTAAAAAGACCTATTCATATGAGGAATTGTAGGTGTTGACTTGATGGCTGGCTGATATATTTTTCGAATAACATCATTGTGTTCAACACAATGATGATGGGCGGAGAAATTGATGATTGTTTGATGTATTTTTGTTAATGATTGCTTCATATATAGATCGCTTACATTACTGATGTATTCGATCGATTGAAGGACAAGCATCAAAATATATTAAGCTCGTGTCATTTTCTATATAAAGAAAAAAATTTAAAAAAAACATTCATTGATATTTGAGTAATTAATCGGTTGAAATTTCATGTCTTAATTTGAGTTGAATGTATCAAATTTGATTGATTTATAATTTATATTTATAATTGATTGATTGATTGGAAAAAATGTTGAAACACCGAAAATAATGAAAAAAGTACATGTATATAAAAATGGTAGGAACTGCAAATAAGAGGGAAAAAATGAAAAAATCATATAATTGGCTTAGACCAAGTTTGACAAAGAAATGATTATGACATCATGTGGATGATGATGAATAAAAGTGGTGTTTTACCACACAAGAAAAATATGTGTATGGCTACAGCCAAACAAATTAGAATTGAAGTAGCTATTTGAGGCATGTCGTGGCGAAATGGTTAAATAGTCGCACAGGGCGTAGTGAGTAAATGAGCTATAAAACATGGGAGCTCAAATTGCCTTTAAAAAAAATCAAAATTTGTGCTCAACAAATCGTTTAACGTTATTTTGATAGTTAATTCTATTAAACAATATATGCGAAAAATAACTTGCTCAAAGTCATTTATATTGACTCTTAAAGAGTACTTTCCAATAACGTAGGCTTGAAATGTCCAATTCCAATGAATGACCCCTCATTTTAAAGATATGGAAATACTGTACCAATAACTTGGAATTTCAATTTTTGTGCACTGTACACGTTTATTTTCACTTAAGGTTGGTGTGATGTGCCCTCATAATTAAATAACATAAAAATGAAATTACCTGTAATAATAAAAGCTATAACAAGAAAGCAACGCCCATATTGAAAAGTAATTGTAAAAGCAGTTGTGTGGAGAGTGTTGGTGTTATATGGAGTGTTGGGGCATATTTGAAAGTGGATGCAGAAAGAGTGACGGAACTACAGAGGTACTTGGCATGCAATGAGAAAAGGTTTAGAAAAAAATTTATTGAAAGATGTTTGAGGAAAGAGACCAACATGTATTTAAATAGGAATCATAGGTGAAGGATTGAAGGCCTTCTTAAAGGGAGAGCAGAGAGCAGGGGCGGATCCAGAAATCTCCGAAAGTTAGGCCGATCGAGAGAACACTGTCCTAGGGGGTCCGGGGGCATGCCAAGCGAAATTTTTGTTCTAGACGCCCGAAAATAACATTTGAGTGAGGCGTTCTGGGCTATCATTTTTTTCTTTTTCTCTGTTTGTTTTCTTTATTTTACCTCCACACACCCCCCCCCCCCCCCCCCCCCACCAAATCTGCCCCTGAAGAGGACAGTTGTTGGTGAAGAGTCTTGGCGGCCGAAGTACTTTTGAGATGAATCTGCACTTTCCTACAAAAGTAAGGTTTTATTTTTCCAGATTATAAGAAAAAATTATGTAGAATAGTATCCGACGGTGGTCCGGAGAGATGAGAAGTGTGTGATCCAGCGTGACCACTCACAATTTTTGATCCAATGACTGGGTCGAAATTACCCAAGATTCAGCAAATATTGCCTAAAATTACCCAAGCTTCCTGAAAATGCATTAAAATTTGAAAAATGCGTGTTTTTCGCATGTACGGTTTCCCTGTAATTAGCTCAATTTATAAATCATTTTTTATTGTAATTGTTTGTGTTAATTATTAAAATTAATATTCATGAGGTGATAATACCGATAGAAAAATACGCACTCAGTCGGCCAGTGTTATTAGTACTGTAGATCAGTGATCAATATTTATTATGTGTTGCATTAATTAGGTAAGATCAATGGCAACGCAAATCACAAATTAACAATTCTGAACCCATGTTTATATCAATTAACAGTCAGTTAACAATGTTATGTGCACTTAGTTGAGTTTTGCTTACTTGAATGGACTGAAATATACTTTGTTGCTTCTGAATTCTTCCTCTTTGACAAAAATATTTAATTTTCTTAGTAAAAATAAAATACCCAAGGATTTGAACGGAATACACAAGAACCCAAGACCAAGTCAAAATACCCAAGATCTTGGGAAAATACCCAAGCAGTGGTCACGCTGGTGTGATCCGATCTATCCATAGAGGTATAATAAGAATAGCTCTATGGATCCATCTGATCGATACCGCCGCACAGTGGGCCAGAATTGTTTCAAAGTGTGCCAAAAGTCAATACTCATAAGAAAATACTGATTATGTTCGTGTTAAGACTGTTTTAGGGGTTTTCAAACCTGCTGAATTCAATTAAACTATTTTAAAATATGTATGACGTCATCAAATTACTGTTTTTTTATTGGATGAGTAAAATATTCATTGTAATACCTAGGAAGATTCATATTACCTTGGTTATTAGAACATATAAGGGGTTTTATAACCTGTAGATTTCAACGCAAGCATATTTAAATATGTATGACGTCATTAAAGTGGTGTTTTTTTTATTGGACGACGTAAAATTTAAGATCTAGACAGAATAACTTGCCAGAGCTCAGTATGACACGAATGAGGGTTTCTAGACCGGCAAATTCAAATTAGAACATTTTACACTTTATGTGACATTATTGAAATACATTTCTTCAAAGAAAAGGGTGGAAGGTGGAGTGTTAAGAAGACACCCGCAGTACCCCCTTAGTCCGCGTCCACCCCATCAGTCAGCCCTCACCAGTAAAAATAAGCACAAAAGATCACGGTCAAACAGAGAATTTACCTAATATCGCTATAATTTGCGTGAGCAATAATTATTGTATTTGAATGGATGCTAAATAAATAAATGAAAAAAATAAATTAAATGAGCGGTCCCACTTCATCGGGCATTTACCCCCATCCCATCACTCACCTTGTGATGCCCTTATCATCTCCAGAGGCAATTTGGCTTCAGATTTAGGACGGAGTCAAAATGTTAAAAAAAAAATAAATAAATAAAAACAAAAGAGAAAGTGTCAGAAAAAAATGATTCCTAGAATACTTGACCTCAAAATGAAAGGGGGTCGAGGTCCTCCCCGGAAAAATGTTGTTTCCTAAATGGCGAGAAATGAGATTTCCCGACTTTTGAGGTGTATTTTAATGACATTTAAGTTTTTTAAAGTTCAAGATTTTCCCTCCCTTGAAAACAGTCATGTCAACCTGTCTCTTATACACATCTAGATGTGTATATTAAAAAATGAGTAGTTGCATACGTAGGCCTATTTTGTTTTCCATGAACCGATGAACCCCAAATAGGACGGTGGTGGGAAAATGTTGATTCCTATATGTCGGGAAACAGGTTTTCTCAACTTCTGAAATGTTGGTTTCCTCTCTTGACGTTTTTTAATGAATCGATGAACCCTAAAGAGGAACCGGGGGAGAGGCGGAATCATGTTAGCCCCTGGCAAATTTTTATTCCTAGATTGCGGGAAGTGAGCTTTTCAGACTTCTGAAGTATCTTATAATGACCTTTAATAAAAACAAAATCAAGGTTCACCCAATTGTAAACGGTCAGGTAAATTTTCTGATTTTTAATACGGTAAAGAGGCCCTTGTGTGTGTAGAGGTAT